TACTACCATAGCCATATCCTCCACGTCTACTACCATAGCCATATCCTCCACGTCCAAAAGTTGTATACATACTCATGATTTCTTATAGTATACACGCAAATACACGTAGAATAAATGTTGTTCTTGTGGTGTATGTGTTTTTAAATAATGATGGATTGATAGTTATGCGGTTAAAAAAAAGACGATGTATGTGGTTGGATACCTGTATGTAAGAGAAAAAGATATACAACCATTCAGCTGGAACATCGACAAATATTGTTACTAATATATATATATTTGTTATGTCCTTGACAGAATAAAAAATCAACATATTTTCGTCGTATTGGATAAAGACAATAATGAAAAACAAGTGAATATTATGTATAGAAACAATAACATAAACAGATGATTTGCTTATTCTGACGTCAAATACAATAGTTCACGGGATCAGTTCTGAAATTATCGAAAATAAACAAAGAAAAAAAATACAGAGTAAGAAAATCGAACGTATCATCATTTAAGTGGGCGGTAATTATGACGTACAAAATAAACATAGTAGTTTGCAACCTTGCGCAAGCAAGAAAAAAAACTGGTCTAATTATGACTTGAAAAAATTTTGTTTTTGTGTGCATCTCACATGTTGAATATTGCTATTAAAAGAAATATTTATCAAGCAGATGTATAATCAATATTATTTTATAATAAAGAAAAACTTTGATTAGCTCAAAACAAAAAAAAGATTCTAAATTTTGAAGATAATGAGAGTTTGAATAGTATTGATAAAGTGTTTTCAAAAGAAAAAGAATTATTTATTAATAACTTTGTCAGTATACAAATGATTGGAGAGATATCAAATATTAAATCAATTCAAGGTAAAATATCAAATGATATAATATATATATTTTTTTTGCATTTAGTGAATGTTATTCAATGAATACAATAATTTAAATATTTGACTTTATAGTTATTTAAAAGGCAGAAAAAATTTATATGTTATTATATTCGAATGAATAGCTTATTTAATTAACATCATATTATAGAACTATGTTATCTACTATGATTATGGTTTAATTTGTAAATAATTAAATGAAATTCAGCTACAGATTAGAACTTGTTTACTTGATTAGTGAATCTTTTCTTCATTTATTTTTTGTATCGAATGCTTTTTTTTTTTTTTATAAAAAATATTATTTCTAAAATTTTCAGAAATAAACTAAGAAATTTTAAAGCAAAGATAAATTAATTATTTGAAAGACTATCGTCATACTAAAGAACAAGTTGATAACTGTCAGAAAGCAATCAGTGTCTAT